TGAAGAAATAGTACAAATCCATCTTACTTTCAATAGCTAAGTGACATGAAAGCCATAACAGAAAAAGTGGTCAGCAATATTTAGCAGCATGACTTGGCCTGAGGCAAAGAGTGGTGCAATAGAAAAACTGCTTGGATTTACTGGCAGCCAGGACCGGGTGGTTTACTGCTCTAGGAGAGACGGGTTTTCTAGGATTTCCGAACTCCCCCCCCCCTCGTACTGAAAATGTTTTATGGTTTCTCACAGAAAGGAACTCCTGGCTCATGTGAATCCAACACTTCCAGTTAAGGGAAATCCCCCCCCCCCATTATTACTATTGCATTAATCGGGAGCTCTTTCCTGCCACAAGCTTAGAAGTCATAATTTTGCTTCCCCTTCAAAAAAGTGATTGAAGCCTGGTTACCATTCTGAATACAATTTATTTCGGGGGGGAGGACAATAAATGCCTATCAATATTCACAATTCATGGGCAGCCCCAAATTCTTGCCGTGGAGGGATTCCAACTCGTAAAATATTTGATAGGAAGCTGCATTGTAACACATAATGACACTCATGTAATGAAACTGCTGGTCGACTAGGGATATCCCCTTACTTCGCTGTTTAATAACCAGCCAACTTCCTGAGCATAAATTAAGCTTAAATGCTGCGACTGAACAGAGTGACACAAATCTGGCCTCCAGGATCACAGCAGCCTCCACAGGGAGCCAAGCCTGGGCATCTAAGGGTGATCTTCTAAAACGCCATTCTAGGTGGAAGTTTCTTTCTGTGGCTTCGGGCCTATGCTTAGATTGCTTTCTGAGGGAAGTGAAATAAACTTATAGGGAGTCCTTCAAACCCATAAGCACTTTTAAAATGTTCTTCGAAATCTCCTTTCCCTCCCTCCCCCAATAAGATCCCCTGAATTCTACCTGTTCAGACATGATGGATTGGGGAGAAAACACACACACACACCAGGAACCTGAAAAACCAGCGTTCATCTCCATGACCACGGCTTGAACTTTCCTACCAACTCAACGATAATAGGTTCTGTCTTTGGAACTGCTATGTAATTTGATGTATGGGGGTCATTTGGCTGCAGAGAAGCGAATGGACACACACAAAACCGCAGAAGGCTCCTCCAGCCCAGGCGAATCTTTCCTGCTCACTCAACAATGTTTACCTGTCTGAGCACGGCCAGCTAGGGATGGGCTCCCATTCACAGAAATCTTATCTAGCATCTAAGAACTTTTTATAGGCTCACCAGCACCAGAAATTAAACCCATCTCTCCACACCTTCCTTGCCTATCCTTGTCTTCCCACTTACACTGTCCCTTCACCATTCAGATCAAAACACTTCTCTGCCAAGGCTCATTGCTGGAGGGGAAGTTGCACAAGATCATATTCTCTCTCTCTCTGTGTTTCAAATTAATTGTACGTGTTTGTGTTTCAATTAAGATCCGTTTCTTCGAAATCGAGGCACATTATAGGGACGAATTAATTTAATCACTCTTTTCCATCTGGCTGCTGCCATTTGATTTCTTAAAAACCCGGAAAACAACGACCAAGTCTTTCGGTGGTTACTAGGCAAACTGACTAGTCAAGATGTAAATATGTAAACAGTTAACGACGTCCCCAAATCACAGATGCTGCAAGGACTGAATTCGATTTCATCGGGTTGGAAAGTAAATCAACTTAAACAGAAGTACTTTACTTTTAACTGGGTGGTAGATCATATTGTTGTTCCTTCATATTTCTGGGCTTTGAGGGGGTTACATTTCGTGTGCCTGAGTCTGGCCTGTTGACTTTTCTGAAACACAGCTACATAAAACCGGTGACGACTCCTATAACCCCCTTTCCCCCCTTAGGCCGTTTGATACATTTCCCTGCCCTCCTTCGGTCTCACCATCTTGTCCAGGCCAATCATAACTGGAGGGGGGGGGATAATGCTAAAGAGTTTTATGGAGTAAGGTAGGGTTTTCCCCATTCTTAACAGCCAACACGTTCCTCACAAGGTCCTAAGGCGTTTAGTAAACTAGGAAAGGAGACCAGCAAGCCAGCTTCCACTAAAGTCAGTGGCAAAACTCCCAGCATGACTGTGGATTACCCTACATTAAATTACACCCCCCCCCAAGGTAAATGCTTCCTCCATATAACTCGCCTCTTGCAGATACAGCCCAGCTATTCTACAGCTACAGAGGGGGAAAGGGAGGGGGGTTATATCGGCAAAAACAGGCCCCAAACAAGTTCGGCTTGGAAGACGCAACCTCTGCTGGAACTCCCGATCTTTTATCACAGGACGAGGTTCCGTCTGATGCAACAACCCTGTCCCTCACAAGGCAGCCCGATCCTGTGCGTGTTTACTTTGAAGTAAGTCCCATGGAGCTTAAAGGGATTTACTTCCTGGCAAATGCTATAGGATTGCTAAATTCCACGATGGTGGTGGTGGTCTCGGGGTGAGCAAGGTCTGCGTCGGCCCTTTTAAAGAAAGGTTCCGATCTGCTTTTTTAATAAGCACCTTGAAGGGGGGGGGCGGTTAAGGCAAGCAGCTCGTTCCTTCAGCCTCCCGGTCCCAAACAACCCCGCCCTTTCTCCCACTGGGTCCGGATCCATGTCCCAGGACAGGCCGAATGTTTGGACTTGTGCCGATTTCGTTCCCGGGAAAGGGGTTTGCTTGAAAGGGCCTAAAAGTTCCAGAGGCCGGCCCCTCGTCTCCCTTGGTCTGTGGACCGGACCTCAGGCTCACACCAAACCTCTTTCGCCCTTGTCGCCCCCCCCCCCACTCTAAAGAGGTGACCTTCGCGGACACCCCTCTCCCAGCCGCCCCCCCTCGCCTCCCCCTCCGCCAGCCCTCGCCTCTCACCGCAAGATTTCCTGCTAGAGAAAGGAAAGTGGCGGGGCCAGGGGCCACTGGCTTGAACTCGGAGTGTAAAGGGTCTATCCGTCACTGCCTGGAAGGAAGCTCCAGCCTGTGAACTCTTCTTGAACCGAGATTTAAGTCTCTGGTCATAAATCACCAGGACATAAACTCCGCCATTCACCACTGATAGCAGCGTATTTTGTGGCCTGCTTACCTTAACTTCTGACGACTGAGGGGGAAGCCAGCATTTGCTCTTTGGAGGCTCGGCGACAGTCGCTCGCTCCCGGCCGGCCCTGGGGGCAGGACTCTGCCCCCCTCGCCCCCGCCCCAGCCAAAGCCCCTAGGCTCCTCCGGGATGGGAACCAGCTCAACGCATCCCCACCGGCAGCCAAGACAGGACGAGCCCTGCCTTAATCCGGAGGAGGAAGAGGAGGAGGAGGAAGAGGACACGCGAGGGGATCTTTCTCCAGCTCGTCTCGAACCGACAGGCCCCCTCCTTTCTCCCTTACCTCGCTCCAGCCCCTACCTCCACTCCCCCACCCCTCCGGCCAGCCGCGATCAGAGAGCCCCCCCCCCCGTCCCACTAAAGGATCCAGGTCCCTCCTAATGTAGCTCGTCCGAAAAGCAGAGAATGTCTCTTATGAAATCTTGCACGCCCAAGGGGGCGTCCGTTGGGGAAAGGCAGCTGCCTCGGGAAGTCCGGGGGAAGCAGTCCAGCCGGCGGGGTGGGGGTGGGGGGAGGGAATGGAGGGAGGGAGGGAGGGGAAAGAAAGAGGACGAGGACGAGGGGAGCGCTGGGGCGGCACCGGAGGAGGCCCAGAGACTTATGCTAATGGAGACAAAGGGTCCTCACAAAAGGGTCACTCTGCCCAGACCTCGTGGTTTTGGTTTTATTAATCTGACAATAGTTTTGGCTCTCGCGTGGTGAAGATGGGTTCTTCCGGTGAGGGGTGAGATGGGCTGAGGCGGGGCCCCTCAAGACTGGGATACCCCCTCTCCATGATCCAGAATGAACTCTTTGGTCTTTCTGGCACCCGGGGCCGGTTCAGGACCACCCTCTCCAAGGATCGAATAAGGACGTGTCGGACGAGGAGCTGGGGCACGAGAGGCACCCACGGCCAGATGCCCATGTAAGGGCGCATCAGCTCTCTGAACCTTCCCCCGGGCAGCCGACCCGCGCATGCACACACGCACACACACCACACACACGATCAGCGTACACGTACAGTGCCACGCTCTAAGGTCAAAGAGAGGCATTTGCTTTGGATTCCATTCCTAGAAACCAGTGCAGAAGGCATTCACCACTGTCAGACCCAGCAAGCCGAGCTGCCTGCCTTTTGTCTCCAGAGCGACCGGGACTGGGGTACGACCCTAATATGTAAAGTAAACCCAGTCAGGAAACTAAGGGGCTTTGCTTGTGAGCAAACTCTAAACACAACACAATAAAGAATCCGATGGACCTTCCAAGCCATTCTGACCTGGGTGGATTGTGGCTTGGGTCGGCCAAGACCCCTAAACAGCTAGACAAACCCGCAGTCTTCTTTACACGGAGAGACAACACGTCAGTAGGCATTATGAAATATACTCACAAAGACTTATGGGATACTGTGTGTACATGCTGCTGGCCTGAACGTTTTGGTTTGACGGACTTCGACGCTCCCTCCTTTTCCTTCTCCTCTTCTTCCCCATTTCTTTTCGTTCATCTCGCCCCCCCCCCCCCACACACACACAATTCAGTCCATCCTTCAACCCAAGTTCACGTTAAAAAACGCCGGCAAGCGGAATGCCTCTGGGTCCCAAGAAAGCCGGGCGCCGTTGGTGAGGCTCCAAAAGCCACACAAAAGAAGCCGCTTGGCGCGCAGGACGTTCAAAGGAACCTCCAAATAATGCCTAGGTGTGAATTTGACAGGACTTCGTTACCCGAAGGTGTTAAAACTACAAAGCGCCTCTGGCAACCGCAATGTCACCTTAAAGCCAAAACAAAGCCAAAGGAGGGCGGGAAGAGGGGGCTTTTTTTAAAAAAGG